TTACGTCTGGCGTTGAAATAAAATGAGTGAAGCATCATTTAATGTGTTGGGAGACTTTATACAAACGTAGGTTGCTAATTAGATGTTTGTTGCAAATTAGGTTGGTTGGTTGGCTGGCTGGCTGGCTGGCTGGATGGATGGTTTGTTGGTTGGAAGGTTGGTTGGTTGGTTGGTTGGTTGGTTGGTTGGTTGGTTGGTTGGTTGGTTGGTTGGTTGGTTGGTTGGTTGGTTAGTTGGATGGATGGATGGATGGATGGATGTCAAAGAAATGTCAAAATGGCACGTATTTATAGATTCTTTATTGACACAACAAAAAAATACAGGTACTTTAGTCTGGTCTCCAACAAATAAAGATCTAACAAAACTAAATACATGTATGGATAACGTCATCTTACGTACAGAGTATATGTATGCCTGGGTTTAGTTTTGACCTCATATGGTGGTTTGAGGGTTAAACATAGTAACACCATGTGCTCCAGTGGCCTGTCACGTACTTGTACATGCTTCCGCACACGAGCAAATTAACAAGTTAAACACAACTTTGTATTCTTGTTACCTTCACCTTGAGCAAGTTCACACTCCCCCTGTATAAAACCAGCCCGGACTATTGGGGAGGTTCTCACTACTCACATCTCTGTCTCTAGCGCTGATTCAGAAGCTCGGTAAGATGAAGACTGCTCTGTTGTTCCTGGCCTGCATCACTGTGGCCTCGGTAAGTGTGCCTCCGTCTTCTTCAGTACAACTGGTACATGTTCAGACAGACTTTATTGACACAACAAAAGTACAGCGACTTTCGTAAGGTCTTAACTACCGTATTCAAGAGTTTTAACTATGTATACAGGCCCAGTTTTGGCACCCGCTGGCCCCATGTAACGACCATCACGAGTGCCCCCCGATCGGGTACTGCTGCCACTACAGTACTGTTCTGCTGTTCCAACTGGTGAGTTGTGAAAGCCATTGCCTCAACCGAATAAAGCTTTTTACATATTAAGTACACTTACATGTGTATGGACTGCCAGTAGTCTTACATGTAGATATGCAGCGTACAAGGCTGATGTGGCAACGAAAAAAGACTTTCCGAAAAAGTTACGTTCTTAGTCATAGACTGTGCCTTTGTCATTTTTGTGTGCATCGTTTCACTCACTTATTCATCCATTCATTCATTCGTTCATTCATTCATTCGTTTCGTGATTTATTTATTCATTCATTCATTCATTCATTCATTCATTCATTCATTCATTCATTCATTCATTCATTCATTCATTCCTTTCCCTGACAGTGCGAGTTGAAGCCTAACGAAGGGTGGCCCTGTGATCCCACCAACGTGGCCGCCTGTCCCTGCCATCATTCATTCACTCATTCATTCATTCATTCATTCATTCATTCATTCATTTATTCATTCCTTCCTTCTTTCCCCGGCAGTGCGAGTTGAAGCCTAACGAAGGCTGGCCCTGTGACCCCACCAACGTGGCCGCCTGTCCCTGCCATCATTCACTCATTCACTCACTCACTCACTCATCCATCCATCCATCCTTGCATTCATTTATTTATTCATTCATCCCTTCTTTTCTCAGTGTGAGTTGAAGCCTAACGAAGGCTGGCCCTGTGACCCGACCAACGTGGCCTCTTGTGAGTGCAACACCGGTCTCACCTGCCAACAAGACTCCGTCACTTACGAGTGGACCTGCGAAAAGGAAGTGGAAATCACGCCTTAAACATCATCACAGCGCGCTTAAAACCTCCATGCAGACCCTCCACGATCTGGCTAGATACATGAAGGACTTGTAGCGATGGGGAGCTCCAAATTCTGTGACTGTTACTTAGCGAAACAGTTTATCCTGTTCCTATATTACGGCCATCGTGAATAACTGTGTGGTCTTAGCCACCGCAACGTTACAAGTCCCTCCATGTATCAATGCTGGTCAGATCTTTGGATGGGATCCATCTGAGATCTGAGAATAAAGCGACATGAACATACCGGAGTGATACTTTTGCATTCATGTATAGTTGGTTATGGTAGATTTACACGTACATTAGGTGGTATCGCGCACGCGCACGCAACATTGGCGACGAATTTTTTTACGGTTCTTGGTGGCAACTGTGCAGATGTTTGCCACTAATTTTGACCGATTAGCCAAAGAGCTCGATGTGCGTCACTCCATCGTACAGCGAGGGAAGTCGTGCAATGTTCCTTTACATGCATATGGTGAGTATCGAACCCGGGACCTATTGGTTATGAGTCCAGCGCTTTAACCATTGCGCCACCGACCACTTGCTCCTAAAAGATGAAGCTAAAACAGTAGATCATTGGTGATATGCTGTAACCTCCGTTACCGGAATTCTGTACACATTTACTGTTAACTTTGTATGTCTTTGTACGTTTCTCTTCAATTGTAATATGTATTACATAAATGTAATGTGTAGACCACATGTTAGCCTTTCTTTATTACTATATTGTCATTGTCACTATTGTTGTAGTACTCTCTAGTACATTGTACTTTGTACATCCGTGCATTTATCCCCCCGGGGAATGAACATGCAATAAAGTTTCAATTTAAACATATTGACACCATGTGGTCCATTGACCTGTCACGTACACTTGGTTCCGTACAGGGCGGATAGATTAAACATGACTTTGTTTTTTTCTTATCTTGACCTTCGGCAGCCTCCTGTATAAAACCAGCCCGGAACGTGCGAGAGTCCCTCACTCACACCTGTGTCTCTCCTAGTACAGAAGCTCGGTAAGATGAAGATTGCTCTGTTGTTCCTGGCCTGCATCACTGTGGCCTCGGTAAGTGTGCCTCCGTCTTCTTCACCTCTGTATTTGTATCTGTATAGCCGGTATAACCGCCCTTCGGCGTAACACACCAGCTTCTGTATCTGTATAGCCGGTATAAACGCCCTTCGGCGTAACACACCAGCTTCTGTATCTGTATAGCCGGTATAACCGCCTTTCGGTGTAACACACCAGCTTCTGTATCTGTATAGCCGGTATAACCGCCCTTTAGCGTAACACACCCGCTTCTGTAACTGTACAGCCGGTATAACCGCCCTTTGGCGTAACACACCAGCTTCTGTATCTGTATAGCCGTATACTATATAGCATGCTGAAGGGGGGCCTGAAGCGCAGAGGGCTATGCCCTCCCACAACAGAAAAGAAACCCAAGGAGCTTGCGAGGCAGAAGACACGGTGGAAAGAGATGAAGAAAGACTGAATGCGGCTACAGGACATTTCCATACGACTGTAGACGCAGAATACATTGGATGTTTATTTGCCTTTATATAGGCCCAGTTCTGGCACCCGCTGGCCCCATGTAACGGACATCATGAGTGCCCAGCGATCGGGTACTGCTGCCACTACAGCACTGTTCTGTTGTTCCAACTGGTGAGTTGTTAAAACCATTGCCTCAACCGAATAAATAATGATAATAACCTTTATTGTGCATCCATGGCCTATCGGGCTAAGTACAGGTGAACGGATGAAAAGGTAACATACATGTTTGTAGTATAAACAGCTCTAAAACTACACTAATACGGAGGTTCGGCTTCTTCTCGTTTCTTTGTGATGCTAAAAATATAATTTGAAATGGGTTTGTTTAATACAGGATGATCAATGAGCATAAGAAAGATGATTTTTTTTAAATATTAGTCAAGTATTGGAGGTATGGAAACGTACTTGTAATATATCTAAAAAGATCATTTCTATCATTACTATATAAACTACAATCAACGACAAAGTGGGCTTTATCTTCTACTTTGTTTGAGCTACAAAATTGGGAAATCCTTTGCTCCAGAGGTGTGGGTTGTTACATAAGTACACTTACATGTATATGGGCTGCCAACAGTCTTATGTGTAGCGTACAAGGCTGATGTGGCAGCGAAAAAAGACTTTCCGAAAAAGTCACGTCATTTTTGTGTGCATCGTTTCACTCACTTATCCATTAATTCATCCGTTTGGTGATTCACTCATTCATTCATTCGTCCATTCCTTTTCCCTGACAGTGCGAGTTGAAGCCTAACGAAGGCTGGCCGTGTGACCCCACCAACGCCTATCTCTGCCATGACGGCCACATCTGTCATTTATTCATTCATTCATTTATTCACTCATTCATTCATTCATCCATCCATCCACCCACTCACCCATCCATCCATCCATCCATTCATTCATTCCTTCCTTCTTTCCCCTGCAGTGCGAGTTGAAGCCTAACGAAGGCTGGCCCTGTGACCCTACCAACGTGTCCTCCTGTCCCTGCAACGACGGACTCACCTGCCAACAGGACTCCGTCACTTTCCAGTGGACCTGCGTGAAGGAAGTGGAAGCTTAGGAACCAGCGCACTTAAAACCTCCATACAGACCCTCCAAACTCTGGCTAGATACATGGATGACTTGTAGTGATGGCGAGATCCAAAGCATGCGCTATTTTGGGACACAGTTGTTACGATTTACAATATTGTGTAACTCTGCGTCTGAAAAACAGCGTAAGGCTCCTCCATGTATGTATGTAATACCTGGTCAGATCTTTGGATGGGATCAATAAAGCGGCATGAACATACCGGAGTGATACTTTTGTATTTATGTATCTCTGACGTCTTTTGGTCATTAAATTGGTGACGAAATTCATACATAAGAAAGTTGGATTGAAGGATGAATGGATGGATGCATGGATCGTAATTGATGAGGTCGTGTGGCGTAGCGAAGAGGTCCCGAGTTCGAGTCCTGACATGACTTTTCTCACTTCGCTCAGGTGAAAATGAGTATTGTATTGTCCCCTGTGTTGGTGGCGGCATTACTATAAGTTGAAAAACTTAAGTGTGCCGTCACCACGACTACATGTTGGAATATATTTAAAAAAAACACATGGCACCTCACGCCACGAAGGCCTTGAGAAACGTTAAAAATAGCCACACAGCGTGACGTCACGTATCTCTGGTTCCGCACAGAGCGGACAGATCAAACAAAGGCTTGTATTTTCTTCTTATCGCGACCTTCGGTGGCCCCGGTATAAAACCCGCCAGGACCATTGGGGAGGTTCTCACTACTCACATCTCTGTCTCTAGCGCTGATTCAGAAGCTCGGTAAGATGAAGACTGCTCTGTTGTTCCTGGCCTGCATCACTGTGGCCTCGGTAAGTGTGCTTCCGTCTTCTTCACTGCAAACCGGAATTTTTAAAATTATTCTAGTCATTTATCTAGATACTAAGTTGAAACAACAGTGTCCCAATGTATATTGACATTCATGGAGCAATAATGCCCAAAATTCTGACGAAAAACGGTTACCGAAAGGACCTGGGCTGATTTTTAGGGTACCACCCAGAAAATAAAGGACTCATCTTGGGGCTTGTTTCTGCAGTTTTAAAAGCCAAAAGTTAGAAATACTAACTCAAAGATTGCCTTATTCAATATATTTCCAGTTTCGATGCCCTGAAATCGCATTGGATGCCTTTAACAGTAAAAATTAAAAATGTTGTTTATCTGGCTTTACAGGCCCAGTTCTGGCACCCGCTGGCCCCCTGTACCGGCGATCACGAGTGCCCCCCGCTGGGCTACTGCTGCCGCTACAGCACTGTTCTGCTGTTCCAACTGGTGAGGTGTTTGTTTGTTTGTTTGTTTGTTTGTTTGTTTGTTTGTTTGATTGATTGTGACACGACTTTACCTCTATCATTGAACAAAGCACCAAGTTCTTGCGGCAGCGCAAAGTGGTTTTTTTGCAAAAAATTCTGCCATACACCAAAAGGCAGTTACTCAAGCAACTGGATATGATTTTGGAAACGGTCAGACGTTTCAGCTAACATCCACTACCTTTCGTCAGTGACCAACGTAGCCGCTTGCCCCTGCCATCATTCATTCATTCATTCATTCATTCATTCATTCATTCATTCATTCATTCATTCATTCATTCATTCATTCATTCATTCATTCATTCATACATACATACATCTATCCGTCCACCCATCCATTTACTCATTCATCCATTCACTCGTCCATTCATCCATCCATCCCTTCATTCATCCCTCCCTTCATTCATTCATTCATTTCCTTTCCCCTGCAGTGCGAGTTGAGGCCTGCCGAGGGGTGGCCGTGTGACCCGACCGGCGTGTCCTCCTGCCCCTGCCACGACGGACACATCTGTCGTTCATTCATCCATTCATTCATTCATTCATTCACACATTCATCCATCCATCCATTCATTCATTCACTCACTCACTCACTCACTCACTCATTTATCCATTCATTCATTCCAGTGCGAGTTGAGGCCTGCTGAAGGCTGGCCGTGTGACCCGACCGGCGTGTCCTCCTGTCCCTGCCACGACGGACACATCTGTCGTTCATTCATCCATTCATTCATTCATTCATTCATTCCTTTCCCCTACAGTGCGAGTTGAGGCCTGCCGAGGGGTGGCCGTGTGACCCTACCGGCGTGTCCTCCTGTCCCTGCCATGACGGTCACATCTGCCAACAGGACGCCGTCACTACCGAGTGGACCTGCCAGAAGGAGATGGAAATGGCTTAAAGATCACCTCAGCGCGCTTAAAACCTCCATGCAGACCCTCCAAACTCTGACTAGATACATAAAGGTCTTGTAGTGATGGGGAGCCCCAAATCTTATGTTATTTGGGGGCACAGTTGATTAACGATCCACAATAGTGTGTGTCTCTCTTTGCCTGAGTAAAGTACCTCAACATTACAAGCCTCTCGATGTATGTCCCACTGGTCAGATCTTTGGATGGGATCAATGTAAAAATAAAGCGACATGAACATACGGTTACGATGCTGAGTGCAGTATTATTCTATATTCGTGTATAGCTTGATACGAATACATAGAGTTTGAATAATACAAGTGCCAAATGCTCAGAGGATGAGCTTAAGACTTTACTAGCGATATCGTTCCAGCGGTCAGTAAAACAACACTCACACAGACCGCACCCAAAAAAAATTATTATATATCTTTTATTGCAAATTCGTGCCCGAGGGCTAATTGCAGGAACAGAAGAAACATTTGGTATAAAAACAGATAATTAGTACACATAGAACTACTGATAACTACTAAGAAACTACTGGTAAGAACTACTGGGTTTGACACCTTTTTTGAAGACAGAGGAAGACAAAGGATCCCACTTTTTCTGTAATTTGTGTGTTTTCGGATGTTAAGAGGAGAGTAGTTTTTTTATTATTATTACAAACGTCGCCGGATGTGCAGTGTTAGCAGACCAGGTGCTGGTTTCCGTACAGGATGGGCGCGTATTGGTTCATCTGTTCTTTCACACAGTTTTGTTTATGCTAAACTTCAGACCCTTATCTACATTCGTCATACACCTCACCTATGCCCTGTATAAGAAAGATTCTTTATTGACACTACAAAAAGTACTGGGAGTTTTGTGTGGTCATCTACAATATATATAAACAGCGAGTTCCATTCTAGACCACCTACTTCGCATCCGAATCTCAACAGAAGAAATCCGTTCGCTTCAGAGATTCTACAAGATGAAGACTGTTCTGTTTTTCCTGGCTATTCATCTATGAATTCTAAGAAAAGTGGGGAAAAGGGTATCGCACTAGCGGACGCCCTGCTAAAAGAACTTTCGTACGTTACAACACGAACACGGGACAGGTGTAACTAATACTTAAAGTCGCTAGAGCGGATAATGCCAATTTGTTCTCCTGTTTCAGTGTTTGGTTTGGAAACCCTTACTCTAAGTGTCTATAGGAGTCACCAATCGGTGTTTGAAATTGACCTTTTTCTCATTTATTAATACGCAAAATTTTTCTATTCCTAACACTTTGTTAGACCCCTTTGGATGCCGCAGGCACAGTTCAAATTGATAAAAGATGTGTAACTTGTAAGTTTTTATTTTACTACATATTTTGCAGGAAGGAATTCCTACGATGTTTGGCAGCATCTTGAGCGTGTTGCGCAGAAAATATTTTGTCTTTGTCCTGGAAGTCGAATAGACCGATTTCCGTGACAGTAATGTCAGCCAGTATACGCAGCTTTAGCTGCCTCATACACCTACTAACATTAACCAACACACAGTCTCCTATTGGTTGAACTACAAGCTTTGAGTGAGCAAAACGTCGGTTATCGACCCCCTGCGTGCTTATTTACCTCTACTGAAATCTTATCATGACCCACTCAACCTTGTAACTGAAGGTATCACCGTGCCGCGAGCGCCCCTTGCGGTCTTGTCAGGCATTGCAGTTTCAGATCTCGTATGGTGATATCAAGAAGGTTTACCTCCATGGTGATATGTACTGTGTTTTGCATCCATTAGTCTCACGCCATCTGGCTATAAAGAATTTATGTATCATTTCCAAAACTTAATTTTCGTAATACATCACTCGTATCGCCCTGGCATAATCATATTTGGGTACCATAGACGACTTGTCTATAGGGCGATATTAAGTTAAGACTATAAGAGGGGGTACTAATATATGGTTTTGTGAAGTCTATAACGATTGTAAAGATGAGATTGATCTATGCTTAAATTTCTTTACACACATATGCACACACACACGCACACACACACACACGCACACACACACGCATACACACACACACACACACACAGACACACACTCACACACACACTCACACACACGCACACTCACTCACACACACAAACACACACATCACACACACACACTCACACACACACACTCACACACACGCACACTCACTCACACACACAAACACACACACACATCACACACACACACACACACACACACACACACACACTCACACACACACACTCACAACACACTCGAAGACTTCAAGAAAAAAAATTACAAAACTTGATCTTCAAATTCGTGGAAATGATATACTGCATCACTTAGAAGCTCAATACTAATGGTGTTGAGATAAAAGGATGTTGGGAAGAACTGAGAAAACCGTTTCCCTTTGATCCTATGATGCAGGAAATAACACAATTCTCCATTCCCAGATTATCTTGTATTACATTATACCACCATCATGGCGACTTGCCAGAACATTAGATCCTGCAGTGCAAGACGCGTACGGATGAACCCAGACTGCGTGAAATTGTGCCACGATTTTATAAAGGCATCCAATGTGATTTCAGAGCAGCAAAACTGGAAATGTTCTGAATAAGGCTATCTTTGTGATATTGACACATACTGCTTCATGTTATCGCATTTCATACTTTGGGCTTTTAAAACTGCAGAAACAAGCATCAAGATGAGTCCTTTATTCTACGGGTGGTACCTAAAAATTAGCCCAGGGCCCTTCCAGTAACCATTTTTTTGGTCAGAATTTTGGGTATTTTTTGCTCCATGAGGGTCAATATACATTAGGACAGTGTGGTTTCAACTCAGTATGTAGATAGGTGACTGGAATATTGACTTTGTAAAGTCAGATTTCCAAGCCCTAAAAACTGCACGGATGAATCCACACTAAAATTGAGGTGCTCAGTGTCGCAAAGAATCCAAGGGTTTAGTTGAAATTGCTAGCCTCCACAGCATGGGGATTTTTTTGGGTCTTCATGGTCTTTGGGAGCTTTTAATGTGCTATTTTCTGATTGCATACAGACAACATAGTCGGCCTGGTTGAATTACCCCCGGTCTGGGCTAATAAAAAAACAGCCGAAGACCACCAAACCCCCAATTCTATAAGCCTGCTACGGAGGCTAGAAATTACTAAGTTCGCGCGCTATGTACTACTCTCAAGCATAGGTTTGGTCTTATTTTTGGCGTGTTTTTATGTTTTTTTATCAGGCTTCCTTTTTTGCACTGTATTTTGTATGCCAAACGAAATAAAAATAGTATCAGTGTTTCATAATTTGGCATTTAAAACAGCGTAGAAACAATAGCAATCCTTTATTTTCTGGGTACCTATCCAAAAATCAACCAAGGGTTTTAATAGTAAGTTTCACAGCTAAACAATACCAAATGGTTGCTCCATATGTATTACGTATTGGGACAGTGCTGTTTCAACTCACTAGACACTATGCAGACAATTGACTGGAATATTGACTTTGAAAAATCTGGTTTTCAAGCTCTGAAACTCCATTTGATGCCTTTAAAGGAAAGCGGACAAAAAGAGACAAAGAAAAGAAACCTGCAAGACCGCAAATACGTCGCCCCGGAGATTACCTAGACCAACAGACACCTGTGGCTGTGTCCACATGAAAGAAGCCAGACCAGAGCTTATTAAAGCCTACCAAAGGCTTCACCACGAGTATCCGTATTCCAAAGAAGACAAGAAAAAACACGCTAGCCAACCCGCACCTTTAGAAGTACCTACATGTAATACCAGCCCAGAAAAGAACAAGAAACAGCCATGCCTTCAAGTACCAGAGTTATCAACCAAGGATTGAGGTGTTGAAGAATTCATTCTTTCCGAGAGCTATCGCAGAGTGGAACTCACTGTCACCAAGTACAGTAGGGGCATCGTCATTAGGTAGCTTTAAACAATGTTCAAGGGTTAGGTGTAACAAGTCGATCGGTGTAATGTAGCCTGAGCTACGTGCCTGCGAAGCTGGTGTGTATACAGATACAGATACAGAGGCCAAGAGGCCTGGTATACGTAGTTCATACATGTGGTGGCGGCATAATCTTCAGCGTGTTTTCTTTACTGTGGTACCGCCGGGTTTTGATGGCTTTTCAAAGGGTACCAACTGATTTAAGAAACTTCTATCAAGGCGACACGTGTCTCTACTATCAAAAAGACCTTCGTCGTGATTTCTTCGAGTTGAAGTAGTGCTTTGATTTACTTTTCTTGTCACGGATATTAGTATTTTAAGAAAAAAGATGATGAATGAAATGTATTTTGCTTGTTTTTTTGCATTTCTCGAATCCTAGCTCCAGTTTTCTTAGTTTTTAATTTTTTTAAAAATTGTCTACATGCACCTGTGCATGCAGTGCTTTCATTTGCTTTTCCTGTCATGGATATTCCTCGTTGTTTTAAGAGGAAGAAGATTAATGCATTTTGCTTGGTTTTTCGCATTTTCGTGTCCCAGCTCTAGTTTTTTTATCTATTTTATTTTTTATTTTTATCGCAGTTGTCTACATGCACCTGTTATACTAAAGTGCTGTCTGTTCGCCCTGGGGCGCTTCACCCTAACCCAATTTAGATCCATCCGCCGAAAGATTTAATCTGTTTTGGGAGAACAAAGCGTGAAACAATCTATCTAAACAACCTACCAACTAGCCTCTGGAGTATCTCAGAGATATGCAGTATCGTTTGAGATAGGTGTAAAAAGCCACGAAAGGTGGTTGACTCTTAGGCGAACCAATTGGGATCATTTTCCCTACGCGTATCGGAGAGTGCGTTATCCGGTCGCGAATCTGAGTAGGGTTTTTTTCGGGGACGATCCATTATATTACCGTGAAGAATCGCGGGTGTTGCATTCTGACTGTCGTGTCAATCGTGTGTAGATTCGTATGTTTGCCTTCGCAGAAGGAAAACAAATTGTTTTTGCTCTGTTTCTTCTTCTTCTGTTCCAAAAAAATAAGGTAAAATGATCAGGATCAGATGTCTGTCACCATGGTAACTAGTGTTGCGTTACATCGTGTTGCAATTTTATTATATATAGCAGGAGGGATTTAGACTCCTGTCACCATACCCAATATATGTGAATGTGTTTGAGCAAGAATTAACAGAGCAGACCATCATGGAAGTATTAAACACATTGTGCATTTGCTTTGCAAATGTTACCTTGCTAGTTCCATATTAAATTGTAACTTGTAGAGTTTTACAATGCACGAATTTAATAGTCTTCCTTCTATGTCGGTCGGTGTAAAGTTGCATGGTCACTCGGTTGTGCTTTAATAGTTGATTCTGCGCCCACGTCGCGAGCAGTAACGCACCGTCCCTTCACCTGGGGAGGGTGATCCCGGTATCGCACGTTGTGTATTACATGTACAGTCCCCAGTACGTACTGAGACAACCAAGCACACAGACAGACACACATGTCAACTTTACCGTGCCAGAAAATGAAGCTGCATTCCCCTTACGTTCGCGGCGTGAACGGATCGTGATATCAGGCGGGCACTGCTCCCAATTATACCGGGTTAGGCGGAGGATCATTCCCTTGTAACAGCGGCGAATAGGATATAATATACACACGGTACAATCTACCGGGTGTCCGCGGCGCTGTGTACGGTAAGAGGGAGGCGGTATCACCGAGGACTGTTCCTCACAGCCTCGGTGGATTGGAATTAAGCGATGGGGAAGAAAAACAGCAAGCTGGAGCCCTCGCTAGTCAAGGAACTGACGGCGAAAACCTACTGTGAGTACCTAGCTGTTGTTGCTGTTGTAAAATGTTGTTGTTTCAATGTCTAATATTTCGCTAGACGTGGTCTCTTGGTGCTGGTTTACGCTTGGTTCAGTTCAGAGTACTTGTCTCCCTTAGCTATTAAGCTGTAACGTGAGTATGCCTTCAAAACACTGCCTTGAAGTGAATATTGCTAATAGATCGGAAGTCCTGCTTGCATGCGTTTACAATTACATGTGGCGCTCATACTCGGAACATGCTGTCATCTATTTATTATTTCCAGGGAAAACTACAATCAATTTCTGTAATATATACCGCGCTCTAGTATAGTATAGTATAGTAGACGCTGCACACAACGGAAGGACATCTAGAGTGCTACCATCATCTCTCGAGATGGAAGGATGCCTACTAGTATAGGTTATCCCTGGCCTAATCTCCAAGCAGATCCCTTTCGATGGCAAGACAGTATCCATTTAGCCAGAGAAGGTCACTGATGGAGGTAGCGAGAAAAAGACCCCCCCCCAAAAAAAAACAAAACAAAACAAACAAACAAACAAGAAAACGGCCATATAAAAAGCTAACGATCATTCCTCCACAACCTCTGCTTGGAGAGTAACCCTGGCCGTTTTGTTCGTAATCATAGCATTACTCTGATTTGTGTTTTCCCATGTAACGTTAGGGACACTTTGTGAGCGCTTTGTTATAACTTAACTGCATGGGAAATGAAATGAAATCTACATTGCAAAACGTTAAGGTCTTAGTGTGAGCTAAGAATGCACCTGCTCCCATGTGTTTGTGTTTGTGTGCATGATACAACGTTATACCATTAAGGCGCATTTCAGGCCATACCAATTCAATTTGTTGGTTCTTGTAACAACTAGTAACAACTAGGAAGAAAAGGACAGTCACTGTTTTCAACTGTTCAGGGCAAAATATGAGCATTTTGCAGTTGATTCTGATTTGTTTTTGTTTTTTTTGCAAATCAGAAAAAAATGAAGCGGATGAATCTGTTAACCAAGAAATTAAATTGGTGTGGCCTTACATGACCTTCCTAAATAAGACTCCAAACATATCGTATTTCCCTTTTCCCCACGTCCGTTTGCCCTTTTTATATTCCTTCCATGAAAATCACCAGTCTCAATGACAAGTTTTCTTCTTGTTGTTTTTGTTCCAGTCACTGAAAAGGAGCTTCAACAATGGTGAGTAACATTCACAATGCAAAGGTGTAACACTATATACACACTCAGTCACGACATAGCTGATAAGCATGGCAAAGGTTGAAGCCAACCGCACAGGCAAATATTTTGAGGCCAAGTTTTGTCTAATGCATAATAATGAATTGGCCATTATACAGCATTGCAAAACGTTATTGTTAATATGTAAACATGTTCACATGTAAACACACTCAGTCACGACATAGTTGATAAGGATGGCAAAGGTTGAAGTCAACCGCACAGGCAAATATTTTGAGGTCTGAAGTTTTGTTTAATGCATAATAATGATGAATTGACCATTATACAGCATTGCAAAACGCAATTGATTTGTAAACATTATAATTTATATACACACTCAGTCACGACATAGCTGATAAGCATGTTAAAGCAAAGGTTGAAGTCAACCGCACAGGCAAATATTTTGAGGTGAAGTTTTGTGTAATGCATAATAATGAATTGGCCATTAGATAGCATTTCGAAATGTTATTGTTATTGTTAAATAAATGTCATTAGTAATCCTAATCCTAAATACATGCAAAGGTGTAACATTATATACACACTCAGTCACGACATAGCAGATAAGCATGGCAAAGCAAAGGTTGAAGTCAACCACCGCACAGGCAAATATTTTGAGGTCTGAAGTTTTGTTTAATGCATAATAATGATGAATTGACCATTATACAGCATTGCAAAATGCAATTGATTTGTAAACATTATAATTTATATACACACTCAGTCACGACATAGCTGATAAGCATGTTAAAGCTAAGGTTGAAGTCAACCCCACAGGCAAATATTTTGAGGCGAAGTTTTGTGTAATGCATAATAATGAATTGGCCATTATACAGCATTGCGAAACGTTATTGTTATGTAAACATGTCATTAGTTATTCCTAATCCTAAATACATCTGACCTACATGTAGATGTAAATATTATCTGACTGTAAGGGCATTTTATTGACATTTCGTGGTCTAATTTAAGACTATTAAGAGTAGGCAAAGGCACACTGGATGCCACTGATGTAGAGGATTTGAGTTTGACTGTATAATATTTAAGAAAAAAAATCAAAACTACTGTCGTAAACCAGAAAAATAAATTTAGTTTCTGAAAAAAGTGGAATTATTAAGTTTCTGTGAGACAAGAAGCAAAACTGTTGTTCTTGTAACAGCAGAGTGTTTAAAATACCTAGTACATGTATCTGCATTTTGCAGAGAGATTTACAAGTCACACAATGTATTGCAGAAGAAAACTCCAGTCTGCAATTTTGCTTTATTACGTTGAGAAAATTGTAGTATTTCCTGTTTCCAAATTACATAACAAAATTTTGACTCACCTGCAATATTGCAGAACATGTTGAAAAAAGGATTTCTATACCATTATTGACTGAGTTTAAATCACCAAATTGAACGTGCATAATGCAATTGCAGCTCAGGCTTGCACTCAATAACCTCAGGTGCAACCTAAAATCCACTTGTAAACCTGCCCTAATTCCACCTGTACAGTGGTAGAAATACTTTTTTTCAGTGTTCTGCAATATTGCAGAATGTCAAAATTTTGTTCTGCAATTCAGCAATACTTTCTGCACTTCCAGATCTAAACCCATGGCATGTACAAAATCGGATTTTGGAAGACATTTTACATACAATTTGAAAAATCCATGCAAAATGACTTGACTGTATGTCATAGAGTCAGTTACTGTAGTAAACACAAAAGCTCTTATAAACACCATATTTGCTTCATTTTCTTCAGTCTGCAAAATTGCATGCAGATAGCTTAATTTTTCTTTGCTGCAATATTGAAAATTTCTCAGAAAAATGTAGACTGCAGATGGGTATTTCTAACACTGAATTCAATAAACTCAGGTGCCACCTAAAATCCACCTCTAAGCCCATCCCTAATCCTACCTGTATGTGAGAAGGTAAACACCGTCGCCTAGCAACCAGAGGTCGCCTGTGGAAATGTCAGGATTTAGAGGTCACCTGTGTGTATTGACTTTGCCAATACTTCAGTAAATACACACAAGGGGGCCCGCAAGCCCTTTTCCGTAGAGCGTAATCAACCGTTTTAATTCTACGTAGAGTGTAGACGGACCGCTCTAATATTTTTGCGTAGAGCGTATTCGGCGTTTTAATTGTACGTAATGCGTTGTAGCCACTTGGAATTTATCGTAAAGCGTAATCGAGAGGTTTCCAAATTCAGCGTAGAGCGTTATCGGGACCCCCCCTTGCAGGCCCTCACACAAGACACCTGGGCTGGTCTGCTGTGTTAAATACAAACTGGTCTATCTGTTGTGCTAATAGTAATACAAACCTGTTTTGTGGAAAGCTTTTAAATTAATGTCACTTCTCAGGGCTTGGAATTCTGGGTGCATGTGCACCTTAGTGCACCCATATCTGGAGCTGTCCACCCAATTTTTTTCTGTGGGTGCTCCCAAATATTTTCTTAAGTTAACGTAATAATGTAAAGGTTGTTAAATGTATAGTTACATGTATACAGCATATTCTTAACATCTAAGTATCAGAAAAATGATAATGAAAAATAAATGATTAAGAAAATAAATAAAATTAATTTTTGTTAACATTCTACTTAATCTTATATATACTGTGCAAACACACACACACAAAAATTGTGCATCTAAATTTTTAGGTTTAAGGTGCACCAGTGCACCTATTCCCAAAAATTAATTTCAAGCCCAGATAGTGAAATCTGTTTTAAGCTTTAATGTCAGTTCTGAAAGCAGTCATTCCAAAGGGATTATGTTGGACAAACCTGCCTTAGCCTCATCTGGGCTGATATTGCCACAGGTGATGCTTTGATTATAGGTTTGGTGAACGGGAGAATTTTGTAGCATGTGAGGGATATGTGATCTTAATATAATCACACTCTTAGATTTCATATAAGTTAATATATATAAGAGTTTTCTTTTTTAAAACCAATCTTGTCTCTTAATAATACATTTTCGGTATCTATCAGACACCTTCCTCAGAGCTTCTGACTGGAGTTCTGATTCCGAAACATAATTAAGCAAGGTGACAAGATGTGGTTTTGTAAAAGAAAAGCCCTGTATCAATATATTACTCTACCAACCTGATGAAACTATTTTCAAAAACAAACTTAGATTATATTTCATTAAGTAATCATTACAAATCTTGATTTTCCAAAAGTCTCGCTTGGTTGATTCCACTGCCAGTAAACATGTGAAGTAATTTTGCCCACAGGCTAGTGTGTGTTATTGTTGTCTTTACCGCTTAAGTGAGGCTTCCCAAACAGTCAGTGAAGCAAGAAGCATGTATTGTTACACACCATCACCGTGTCTGTCACTCCCTAACACCACATAACAGGACAACAACAGCAACTAAGTCAGACAGTATAGGTTTGGAACACACTAGCCTGGTTACCTTAGACCTTAGATCCTCCCGCAACCTTGTTGCATAGGTCGACTCCTTGTCTGACTTTTTGTCTCCAAAGGTTTCGGTCTTGCGCCACTACTGCCATATCCTTAAGTGAGTTAAGTCCAAGTTTTACCCCATCATTTTGTAGTGTTTTCCGCAAAGTCACTCTAGGCCGCCCTCTCGGGCGTGTGCCTTCTGGCTTCCATGTTAGGGCTGTTTTTGTGGTTCTGAGATCAGGGAGTCTCCACACATGTCCAGCAAAGCTCAATCTCCTTTTCATTACAGTCGCACTGAGAGATGGAACCTTGGCTCTTTGCATGAGCTCCTCATTTGATACATGGTCACGCCAGGAGATGCCTAGTATAGTTCTGAGGCATCTACGCTGGAACGTGTCTAACATTTGCACTGTCTCTTTGGTGCTTCTCCAGGACTCACATGCATATATAGCAGTTGGTACCACAATGGACTGGAAAAGCTTCATCTTTAACGGGATGCTGATTTGCTTGGAGCGCCACATTTTTCTTAGACGCTGCCACATTCCGGTAGCTTTTCCTAACCGACTTTTAACCCTTGTCCTGCTGGCATTCCTGGCACAATATTTTTCAATATTTTCATGTCTTAATTAGATTAAAAAGAAAACAAATTTTTTTGCCCTGCAGTGGCATAGTTACTTCCGCATTCGTTGCGTTTCGCTGCGGTGTAATCCGTTGCACGAGAAATACCCCCAAATCGTACCTATACAGGGTGTTATGTAGATGGTACTGAATGTGCCGCGCAACATATGTTGCGCACAGCAGGACAAGGGTTAATATCCTCCTCTGTACCCCCACCCATAGTAATAATACTACCTAGATATGTAAAACTGTCCGCATAATCAATTTGTTTGTTGTCAAGCAGAAGTGGTGAAGGGTTTACAATAGATGTCATTGCTTTTGTTTTGTCCCCACTCACTCTGAGCCCACTCCCGAGTACCTCTCCGCAATTTGCGGAGAGGATGTAGGACTCGGGAGCTATAATAGGTTTGGTAACCAGGCTAGGAACACACTGGAACAGCTGTAACAGTTTTGAAAAATCAAGATTTTTATTAACAGAGGTCAAGCTATAATATTCACTTTTAATTAATAGATTCTGAAATAAACTTCAGGTAATTTTTGACATAATGCTTCATTATAATATTTTTATAAAAGTGTAGTGAAAATTCCCTCTTTCTTAGAAATGTATTGAACTGACGATGCCTTACTTTCTATGGATTGTATGCATTTATGGCGACCTATATTCACACACATACATATAAAAGTATTAAATGTTATCAGAGTTGACATTAATACATTCAGGTGAAACACATTTTTCCTTCAAGTTGGTAACCCCAAATGCCTGCAGAACCTAAAAGTCAACAGTAGGTTATTTTTAGAGCTTAAAACTCTCACAATAGCAATTACCAAGGCAATTGTCACAACAGATTTTGAAGCCATCATTGTTCCACAAATGCCAAGAGAGTGCTTCAGGTCGACGAAAACAAATGTTAACCTTTTTCAGGTCGACGCAAACAAATGTTGACCTTTTGAAAACAAAGGTTTACGTGGAGAAGTATTG